GAGGTTTATTTTTATGATGTTAATAAATATTTTTGCAGATCTTTACAGATTCTCTTTTTTTATTTATCATCACCTTTTTTTTTCAAATAAAAATTATAAGCATTTTATCATTGAATTTTAAAAAAAAAATCTTTTAAATTTCTTTTTTATATTTATTGAGAAATTTTTAACTACCAAAAGTTATTGTTGTTACTGTTATTGTTATTACTACTATTACTGAACTTACTATTATTATATAGATTATTATTATTGTTATTATTCATATTATTGTTCATATTATTGTTATTATTGCTATTGTTATTATTCATATTATTGTTCATATTATTGTAAAAATCGTCATTGTTATTGTTCATCATATTATTGTTATTGTAAAAATTGTTCATGTTGTTATTGTTCATATTATTGTTATTGTAGAAATTATTCATATTGTTATTACTTGTCATGTTACTATTATAATTATTAAAGTTGTAGTTATTTTGATTGTCAAAAGCACTATTAAATGATAGGTCGTTATTATATGATAGCGTTTGATTTGATTGATTTGATTGGTTTGAAGGATTTAATGGTGGGTTTGAGGATGATGGTTTTAAAACTTGATCAAAGCCATTGGTATTGTAGGTTTGTTGTGAAAAATTACTAGTCGAATTATAATTTAAATTACTGTTACTACTAGTTTGACTATTATATCCCATTGATGAAGAGGAATTTGAATTGGTAAAATCATCTAAATTAATATCATATCTAGATTTATTTGAGGAGGAGGAAGAGGATGGAGCTAAAGTGTTGTTTGGTTTTAATATATTGTTGTTATTGTTGTTGTTATTATTGTTAGTTCCATCAAAATCAAAAATACTACCGCTGTTGGGTCTGTTTGGTTGTGGTGCGCTTGTAGAATTCATACTTAGATTGTTAAGTGATGATAAGGTTGAGTTATAGTTATTACTGCTACTAGTATTGCTATTCATAATTGAGCTATTACTAGATTTGTTTAAGTTGGAGCTATTATTTAATGGGGATTTAGGTTTGACAGGTGGAGGCAGTGTAATATTGATAGATTGGAATGAGGAGGGTGATGCAGTGTTTCTATTTAATGAGCCGAAATCTGGTGATGAAAGTAATGATTTATCTGTACCAGTTGTTATTCCTGTGTTTGATGATGGTGATAATGAAGAAAATGGGTCATTATTTGTAGTTGTCGCTGAGGATGGTGAGAGTGAGGAAAATGGATCGTGTTTATTATTGGTGGGGGTGGTTGGTGGGTTGTTTAATAAAGAAAATGGGTCAGGTTTACTGGTATTGTTGTTATTATTGAGTTGTTGTTCAAAGTTTGAAGGTAGAGTTATTGAAGTTGCTGTAGGAGTTGGGTCACCACCAAACATATTGTTTTCAGTATTTGAAGCTTGGGTGCTGGCTTCTGGTTTGGTAAATCTTTGTAGGTTTGAAAGTTCATTTATACGTTCACCTTCATAGGCATTTAAAATTTCTCTAATAACCTTCATTATTGTTTTGAATTGTTGTAAGTCCAAATGTTTATCTGATGATAAAGGGATTAAAGCTGGTAAAACTTTGAGGGCCAATAACTCACCCCCTAGTTTTTTTGAAATGGCATCATAGGTTTGTACTAATGCTTCTAAAATTGCTGGAGAGTTATCACCAGATAGAATCTTTTCTAAATTTGGGATTAAGTAGTCTACAATAACTGGTTTATCCATTGAGGGTACTATAGAGGTGAACCAATTAATGGCTTTAGTTCTAATATGGACTGGGAAGCCACCAACACATAAATTTGTTAATCTTGGAATTAAACCACTTTGAATAGTTTCGGTATCAAAGAATTTTAAGATTTGTTGACCCAAAGAGAGTGATTGGTAGATGATTTCTTGAGTTGGGCCACATAGGGAGCCTAAAATAACAGGAATTATATATCTCTTTATAGAGTCTAATGAGCCCTTTGTGATGAACAATGAAAGGTTATCAAGTATGCAAGTAAGTACCTCGGCTTTTGGTTCTTTGCTTGTGAGTATATGAGAAACAGCAGGAATTATTTTTGATTGGAAGGTTTCTTTTTTAACATGATTATTACAAATAGACATAATACATGGGAATAATACGTAGGTAATACGATCGTTTGATAGCTCTGATAATAGTACTGGTAAAATATAGTTTGTTTGGATTCTTGGTGAAAATTGTTGAACTATACTTAAAAGGCCTCTGTAGAAACGTATTTTAGATTCCTCTTCTTTTTGTGTGATGTTTTGAAGATAAACAATAGTCTTTGTTAAGGTATCATTGAAATAGGATGATCTAATAAAGTTGTCCAAGTCGCCACGAAGACTAGAGTCGCCTAAAAGAATGGTGCATACTTTTGCGCTGTCAGATTTTTGAGTATTTAATGATGATTGACGTCTAGCTTGTTCGAGCATTGTATTGTAGTATGATTGTACACCTAATTTAGCCATTTGATTTTTTAAGTTTGGTTCGATTGCTTGACCATCTAAATTTAAAACCATTTCAAAAATTAATCTACCAACAGCAAATAAATCAGAGTTGTTTGAAAAAGATTTCTGATTAACAAATTCTGGTGATAAATAGTCCAATTGTGGTAAAATGTTATGAGCCTCTTGATAAAGATACTCTTTTAAATCGTTTAAACTAAGATTTGAAATGGGTGGTTCTTTAGTCTCTATAGAGCAGGTGAATCCGAGACCTCCTAATTTCCATTTTAGTGACTTTGTAACATAAATTGATTCTGGTGAAATGTTACGATGAAGGAGTTTGGCAGTTGTATTTAAAAAGAATAAACCATCTAAAATTTGAAAAACACCAGATTTGACCTCTAATTCTTCAAATGTAAAATCTTTCTTTTTATATCCTTCTTCTGATGTCGATGACGAGTCCACTGTTGATCTCTTTCTTTTACGATGATCATTTATCAAATCCTCTAATGTTGCTAAAATAGGTTCGGTTGCAAAATATATATGATTTTTGGTTTCTTCTAAAACACTAAAAACTTGTAATACTGAAGGATGTCTTAATCTTTGTAATGTAGTTGCCTCTTTTTTCAAAAATGTTGTAATATTTTCTAAATTTGATTTTGAAATTTTTTCGTTTTGCTTTTTATCAAATATCTTTAATTTAAAATAAAAAATTATTGTATTAGTATTAAATCTATTATTATTATTATTATTACTATTATTATTATTATGACCACTATTATTATTAATTTGTTAATTCATACAAATACTGAGCATTCTTGATTTGTAGTTTTCTTTAAAGCGTCATGAATTTTCCAATACCCATTCTGACTAACGAAATCTTTTAAATCGTGATCCTTGACAGGTGAAATTAAGTTACTTGTGCTTCCTAAGAATCCTCTAACTTTTTGTTTTAATGATTCGGTATCCATTATTATTATAACATTAACTATTATAATAAATAATAAAATAATATTATTATTAATATTAAAAAAATAATTAAAAAAAAAATAAAAAAAAAATAAAAATTTGAAAATTTAAAAAAAAATAAAATAAAATGAAAAAAAAAAAAAAAAAAAGATTTTTTTTTAATTTAATTCACACACATTCATCATTTACATTATTTGCAAAAATAAAATCTTCAAATAATTAATTATTAAAAGAGACATTTATTTTTTTTGTTTTTTTCATTTTAAAAATATGTTATTGTTTTTTATTATGAAAATTTCTAAATTGGTGTATTAATATAAAATGATCAAAAAAAATTGAAAAATATATTAAAAAAAAAAATTAAAATAATTTAAAAAAAATTAATTATTTTAAAATTTTTTTTTTTTTTTTTTTTTAAATTTTTTTGAAGAGATGAAAATTTTTATTTTTTCATTTGTTGTTTTATTATTTTCAATTATATTTTATAACAATTATAATTTGATAATTAGCAATAATATTAAAAATTATAGTTTTTTAAATATATTTAATAGCATTATTGATTATAATAATAATAGTAATATAAAAGAATATCAATTCGAAATGGATCCATCATCATTATCAAATCCACAAGATTGTAAAGTTAGCTCATTAAAGTTAGTCTTAACTGTTAACTTTGAAAAGTCTCAATTACAAGGTTACGTCGAAGTATTCTCTCAAATTATGAGAGATGGTGTCGAAAGTTTAATTTTAGATACTAATAAATTAGAGGTTACCAATTGTATTGACTTAACCTCAAACCCAATTAATGTAATTATTAATGTTTCTTTTTTATTTTTCTTTAATAAATTCATTTTTTAACTGTAAAATTTTCTACTATTAAGTTTAAAATTGGTGAAGAACAACCAAATTTTGGTAAACCATTAATCATTTCTATTCCAGAAAGTTTAAGATCAACTGGTAAAGAATTCTCAGTTAGAGTTTATTATAACACTACTGCCGAATCAAATGCCTTACAATGGTTAAATAAAGAGCAAACTGCTGGTAAAGAACACCCATATTTATTCTCACAATGTCAAGCGTATGTAGATAATATATAGTTGGTTATTTATAACAAAAAAGAAAATATAATTAATACATTTTATATCAATTATAGTATTCATGCTAGATCTTTAGTTCCATGCCAAGATAGCCCAAGCAACAAAGTTAAATATCAAGCTGAAATTACTGTTGCAAAACCACTCACTGCTTTAATGAGTGCATTATCAACTGGTAAAACTGAAACTGCTGACAATAGCATTTATTCATTCACTCAAGAAATTCCAATTCCAGTATGTACAAACATAAAACTTTACAAACCAATTATGTAGTCATTGTATTAATTTTTCTTAATTTTAGACTTATTTAATTGCTATTGTTGTTGGTAATTTAGAATCAAGAGAAATTGGACCAAGATCAAAGGTTTGGTCAGAACCATCAATGGTCGAAGCTGCTGCTTACGAATTTGCTAATACAGAGAGATTTATTGCCACTGGTGAAGATTTACTCACTCCATACGTTTGGGGTAGATACGACATTTTACTTTTACCACCAAGTTTCCCATACGGTGGTATGGAAAACCCATTATTAACTTTTGTTACTCCAACTCTTCTTGCTGGTGACCGTAGTCTCGAAAATGTCGTTGCTCACGAAATCGCCCACAGCTGGTGCGGTAATTTAGTTACTAACCGTTTCTGGTCTGAATTCTTTTTAAATGAAGGTTTTACTGTTTTTGTTGAAAGAAAGATTATTGCCCGTCTTTATGGTGAAGAGATGTTTGACTTTGAAGCTATGAATGGTTTAAAACATTTACACGACGACGTAGAACAATTCAAAAAAATTGATCAAGAACCATTAACTGCCTTAAAACCAAATCTTGACGGTATTGATCCAGATGATGCTTTCAGCTCAGTACCATACGAAAAAGGTTTCAACTTATTATGTTATCTTCAATCATTAGTTGGTGTTGCTGATTTCGAAGCTTGGTTAAAATCATACATTGCTAAATTCTCATATCAAAGTATTATTGCCGATCAAATGAAAGATTACTTTATTGACTATTTCACTGAAAGAGGTAAAGCTGATGCCATCAGTGTTGTCGATTGGGACTCATGGTTCAACAAACCAGGTATGCCAATTAATCAAGTTTTATTCGTCTCAGAAAAAGCCCAAGTTGCTAAAGATTTAGCTGAAATTACTTGGTCAAAAGAACACGGTAAAAATGCCACTGAAAACGATCTCAGATCATTCAAGACTCAACAAATCGTTTTATTCTTAGATACTCTTCTTAACATCACTGTTGACAAACCATTACCAACTGAAGTTCTCGAAAAAATGGACTCACTCTACCATCTCACTGAAGTTCGTAACAGTGAATACAAATTCAGATGGCAATCATTATGCTTACAACATGGCCTCAAGAGAATTGAACCACATGTTGTCGACTTTTTAACCTCCCAAGGCAGAATGAAGTTTGTTAGACCACTCTACCGTGAATTAAATAAAGTCAATCCTCAATTAGCCAAAGATACTTTTATAAAACATAAATCTCAATACCACATTATCGCTTCAAAGATGGTATCAAAAGATTTAGGTTTAAATTAATTTAATTTTAATTATTAAATTAACTATTTTTCAAGAACAACAATAAATAATTAGATTTAAATACAATATAATTGAAATACTTTATCTTATAAAAAAATTACAGTTTATTTTTAAATATTTTATATTATAGTTTTATTAGTTTTGCTGTTCTTTTATTTTATTGTTATTAAGTTATTTATTGTTGAATCTTTTAGACCGTTGTTTCTAATATCTGTGATTATATTTAACAAACTTTTATAATTATCTTTAAATTTTGATATGTAATCTATTGTTGATAAATTACTTTTTGAATCTAATACTTTACTTAGTTCTACTCCTTTTAATTCCTCAATTGGTACACCATTAACTGCCAAACCACAATGATTATCTTTTTTAATTGCTTTTGATTTTAAACACACATTTTCAAATTTAATATTTAAATAATAAATACTGTTATCATTGTTTGAAATCGAAACTGTTGTGTCTTTATTTGAATCTATATCTATTATTCCTTTTTCTAGTCCTTCTTTTATAGTAAAATCTGAAACCCCATTCCTTATTCTTGTTATTAAATGTAACGAGTCCATATTCCTCTCCTTAAATTTAGAAACATAAACATCCTTTGAATGGTGAGAATTGGTATTTAAAGCTTTTGCCAATTCTACTCCTTTTAATTCTTCAATTGGTACACCATTAATTGCCAAACCACAGTGATTATCTTTTTTAATTGCTTTTGATTTTATGTTAATGTTAACATAATTAAAATTTATATAATAATTTGTATTATTATTATTTGAGTTTTTTTCTTTTTTATTTTCACTCTTAATATTATTATTTATATTATTTTTATTATTATTATTATTATTATTTTCATCATTATAATTATTTATACAAATGTTTTTATTATCTATTTTGGTGTTGGATTTTATTTCTGTTTTTGCTAATTTGGACTCTTTAAAACAGTCACCAACTTCAAATATACCCAATCCATTATTTCTTATATTTGTAATTAAAACCAATGCTTCTTTTTTTCTTTCTTTAAATTTTGAAATGGCTGCTTCTTTTGAAAGATGGGAGGTTGTATTTAATGCTTTTATTAACTCGACACCTTTTAACTCTTCTAATGGAACATTATTTATTGCCAAACCACAATGACTGTTTTTTTTAATTGGTTTTGCCTTTATGGAAATATGTTGAAAGTTATAGCTATAATAATAATTTATTTTATCTACATTGTTATCATCCCCCAATATATTACCATCAATTATATCCACAATGTTTATTATTTCTTCATTGATTGGTATTGATATTTTTGATTTTGATATTAATGTTGATGTTGTTGATGTTTTTGATGTTTTTGATGTTTTTGATGATGTTGCTTTTGTTGATGTTAATGATGTTTCTGTTGCTGATGTTGATGTTTCCTTATCCTTCAAACATAAATCTTCCATTTGATTAACAAAAGCTTCTTCTTGACTCTCATCGAGGGATACAGAATAAAAAGAACTATTAAAAGTCAAGTAGCAAAACTGAGGGTCATGAGTAGAAATTTTCTTTACATTGAGTTGATGAGTTTTGATAAAATCTTGAATCATTTGAAAATCTTTATAGTAATTTTCAAATCTTAGCGGTATTTTTGAAACATTGTGAATATTTACATAGTTTTTGTTATAAACAGTACAAAAGAAATCTATATTCGTTTTTGATATATCATCTTCGGAATAGTGGGCATCTATTTTTGGTGAAGTTGAGATGACTAAATTTAAACCAATTTCATCATATACCAACTGATCAATATCTTCATTAATTAAATCCAGATTAAAATCACCGAGAATCAATAGCTTGATTGGTTCATTAGCAAGCTTATTGTTTATATACCAATTTACAAATTTGAAAAATTCTAATATAAAAGTCTTTTTTTTTTCGATTGTATAATTATTGTGAACTGAGTGAATATTGATTACACATAATTTTAAACAACCATCTGCTTCCATATCGTCAATTTCGTTTTGTATTTTAAAATGAACAATTTGAATTCTTTTTTGGCCATATTTTGGGAACTGTGTAGTGTATTCAATGCCTTGATTGTTTTCCTTTTTTCTACTTTCTTCTATTAGTTTATAAGAGTTTTTGTGCCCATCTTCATCTATAGATAGCTTTTGTTTATTAAAAATAATTGCTACCTGATCTTTACTATCTGGTGGATATGTTATTTGATATTTCTCTTCAGTTAAATTAAAACATTTTAAATAATTCTCTTCTTTTGTGTACGCTGGCTCTTGAGTAACATATAAATCAAATTGAGTATCCCTAGTATTTTCTTGGTTGATCATCATTCGGCACTCTGAATAACCTTTTTTACCATCACCAATTGAATTCCATAGAAATACACGCAATATCTTTCCATATTCTGGGTTCTGAAGTTGTATTAATTCATTTGATATATTAATTGAATTTGATTCGATTTCTAATATTTCCTCTTGCTTAAAATTAAATGTACCATTTTTATTATTTATATATTTATGTGGGGAATCATACATTTTATATCATTATAATATTATTTATTTTATTTGTGTGATGGGTTAAAATTAAAAAATAAAAATTTTTGAAAAATGAAAAAAAAGAAATTAAAAATTTAATTTGAAATTCTAAAAAAAAAAAATAAAAAAAAAATAAAAAAATAGTTTATAAACGATCTATATAATTAAATTTAAGAAAGGGGATAGTTTAAATTTTTTTTTTCTTTTTTTTTATTTAAATAAGTGCATATATTTTTAGTTTTTATTAAATTCCTCAACAGTAATAATTTTTCCTGGGTTCATAATGTTGAGTGGATCGATTGATTTCTTTATTGTCTTCATTAAACCAACTGACTCTGGACTTAATTCTTTTTCTAAATATTTCTATAAAAAAAAAAAAAAAAAAAAAAGTTAGTAAATTTATAAAAAAAAATATATTTAGATTTGATACTATACAATTTTACCAAATGAAACACCATGTTCACCAGTGCATGTACCGTCATAACCAATTGCTCTTTTAACTAAACTATCATTAATAAATTTAGCTTCGCTAAGTTCTTTTTGATTATTTGGATCAAAGAGGATAAAAAGATGGAAATTACCGTCACCAGCGTGAGCTACTAAAGGTGCTAAAAGTGAAGTTGTGGCAATATCGACTTTAGTTTCATCAATAATTCTTGCAAGTTTTGAAATTGGAACACAAACATCGGTAATCCAAACTTCAGAGTTTGGTTTTAAAACTTTTGAACTCCAAAGTGCAACTTTTCTAGCCATCCAAAGAGTTTCCTTTTCTTCTGGTGTTGATGAAAATTGAAAATCTAAAGATCTTTCTTGCTTTGTAATTTCACGAACCTTTTTAATTTGTTCATTTACCATTTCCTCTGAACCAAAGAATTCAAAAATTAAAGTTGGTTTTTCTGAATATTTGGTGCCACTTGCAATATTAACAGCCTTCATCATTACATCATCCAACAACTCTACACGACCAATATGGAGACCAGATTGCATTGTTTTGATTACAGATTGTGAAGCGGATGAAATATCATCAAAAGTTACCAATGAAACTTGTGAGCATTCTGGGATTGGAACGATTTTTAAAGTAACTTCGGTAACTACACCAAGAGTACCTTCGGAGCCAATAAAAAGATGGGTTAAATCGTAACCAGCAGATGATTTTTTAGCCTTTGATCTTGTTGTAACCAAGTCACCATTTGGGAGAACAACCTTCATTGAGAGTACATTTTCCTTCATTGTGCCATAGTGAACTGCATAGGTACCACTGCAACTTGTACCAACCATACCGCCAATTGAAGCACCTGGTCCTGGGTCAACTGGGAAAAAGAAACCAATTTTCTTTAACTCTTCATTTAAATCGCCATAAGAAATACCTGGTTGAACTGTAACATAAAAATCATCTTTGTGAATATCCAAAACCCTGCTCATATTTCTAAAATCTACAGTCAACCCACCATGAGTTGCAATTGTGTGACCTTCTAATGATGTGCCTGATCCATATGGAATAATGGGTATTTTATATTTTCTACAAATATTTACCAATTGAATTACTTCGTCTTGATTATGTGGATAAACGATTGCATCTGGACATTGACGTTCGTGATATGAAAAATCTTTACCATGAGCTTCTAAATCACCTGTACTTGTTACAAATCTTTCTGAAAATATTAAAATTAATTCTTTGGCAGCCTCATCTGGAATTTTACTTGTTTCATTTGTAGTTATATTATTTTTTGCAACATCGATCGACTTTTCTTTTTCATCAAGATTTAATAATGAACACTATAAAATACAAATATTTAAATATATTAATAAAAATAAAATGGTTTTAATAAAATAAAAGAAGAAACTTACAAAACCCAAGCCGACAGCTGAAACACCAACAATTGAATAAAAGAAATTTTGTTTCTTTTTATTTTGATCATTATTATTTTGGCTGTTGTTATTTTGGCTATACTCTCTAGTGAATGATTTCAAAGAGTTTAAACTCTTTGATTGTTTATAGACTGCTCTTGTAGAGTAGTTTAATAATCTTTTTGTTATCATTGTTGTGATATTATTACAAAAATTATAAAAATGATAAAAAAAAAAAAAATTTTAATTTTGATAAATTTTTAATTTAAAATAAAAAAAAAAAAATAAAAAAAACTAAAATAATTTTTTTTTTTTTCGTTGTTCTGAGACATATGAGGAACTATTAAATTCCCATTCATATATTAATCCAAAATTGTATATATTAATCCAAAATTGTACACAATTGTATGAAATGAAAAAATATAAAAATTTGATAAACTTTAAAAGAAATAAAAGCTGTGTCATTGTAATTTTTTTTTTAATAAATTATTTTTTTTATTGTGCTAAATTTTTTTTTTTTAAAAAAAAAATTCTAATTTTATTTTTTATATATATCACAAAAACTATATATTATTTTTTAAAATAATATATTTATATATTTATATATATTAACTTATATTTAAAAAATGATGACAATTAATATTTAAAAATTGTTTCTTGGTTGGTGTTGGGGGTTTTGTTGAAATTGTTGAAAATGGGTTGGTTGCATGAAATTTTGGGAACCATAGTATTGTGAATATTTGTATGAGTTTGAAAGATCTTGAGTTGGTTGTTGTTGTTGTGGATTTGGTTGTTGGTTTGGTTGTTGTTGTTGTTGTGTGGTTGGTTGTTGTTGGTGATGATTTGGAGTAAAAGCTGGTTTTTGGTTGGTTGGTGATTGTAATTGTGGACTGCCTTGTGGGTTCATTGGTTTTTGTTGATTTGGATCTTGGAAACCATATGGATAGCCATACATATTGACTTTATTGAAATCTTGTTCTTCAGTGTAACCACCTTGTTGTGGGTGTGGGTAACCACGACCAACGTTCATATGATGGTATGGTTTTGGGTAATATGGATAACCTTGATGTTGGAAATATTGTGGATAGGCAGAGTAATATGGGTATGGAGCTTGAACAAATGGGGCTTGTGGAAGTGGTGGTGATTGTGATGGAGCTTGACCTGATGAGGCTTGGCTGGCAGTATCTTGGAATTTACCTTCTTGTTGGCCTCTGTAAGCTGGATTTGAGTTACCACTGTTTCTAAATTGTTTATTTTGAGTATTTTCGTTGACTGGTGAAGTGGTTCTAGCATTGTTGTAGTTTTGATAATCGTAACCAAATTGTGCTCTGACTCTGAAATCGGTTTCTTGGTCAAAGAAGTTATTTGGGTGCATATATGGTGGTTGTAAATAACCATAGAGATGCATATCGTTTTCTGGTGGGATCATGTGGTTGTCCATTTGACCCATTGGATTCATTGATGGCATACCTCCAATTTGACCCATCATTGGGAAACCTTGGTAGTGTGACATATTGGCATTTTGATGTTGTTGTTGGTGGTGTTGTTGTACTTGTTGTTGTTGTGGTTGTTGTTGTTGATGTTGTTGTTGTGGGGCGTGTTGTTTTGTTTGAATAACTGGTGGTTGTTGTTGTGATTGTTGTTGTGGTTGTTGTTGTGGTTGTTGTGGTTGGATAGTTGGTTGTGGTTGAACTGGTTGTGGAATTTGTTGAACAGTTTCAATGACAACAGTTTCGGTGGTAGTGCTCTTACCAAATTGAACTTCTGAGCTTGGATCAAAGTTGAATGAGTCTGGTAATGCGACTGGGGTATCAATCATTTTATTAGTTTTATATGGTTGACGAACTGGTGAAATTGATTGTTGTTGTTGTTGTTCTTTTGGTTTCCATGAATGGGTTGTGCCTGGTTTTGAACCGAAAGTTGGTCTTTGTTGTTGTGGTTGTTGAGCTGGTGCTTGGGCAGTAGCAGCTGGTTGGGTTGGTTGTGAAACAGCAGTAGCAGCAGTTGTAGTGCTGACTGGGGCAGCTGAGACTGGGACAACTGGTTGAGTTGGTTGAGTAGCAGCGACTGGTGTTGGTGCAGCAGATGGTTGAGCAGCAGCAGCAACAGCTGGAGCTGGGGTGGTAGTAGCAGCTGGGGTAGCAGTTGGTGGGACTGATGGAGTTTCAGTGGTAACAACTGGAGTAGTGGTTGGGGTTGGAGTGGTGGTTGATGGAGCTTGAGTAGTGGTTTGAGTAGATGGAGCAGCAGCTGGGGTTGTGGTAGCAGTGGATTGGGTTGATGGTTGAGCAGCAGCTGGTTTTGGAGCTGGTTTACTGGCAGCGGTGATGGCTTCTAAATAGGATTGTGGAGTTGATGATGATGGAGAAGAGGCAGCGGTGGTGGTAGTGGCAGTGGTATTATTTGGTGATGTGGTATTAACAGTAGAAGTGGCAGTTGATGGTGAAGTTGATGGGGCAGCAGTAGTTGGTTGGGTTGATGGTGTTGGGGTGGTAGTGGTGGTAGAATTTGTGGCAGCGGTTGGTTGTTGTGATTGTTGTGGTTGTGTAGTATTTGATGGAGCAGCAGTTGCAGCAGTGGTTGCATTATTTGATTGTTGAGCTTTTTGTTGTTCTTGTACTTTACGTTGATTTTCTTTTTCTTTTAAAATTTCTACCATAGTTTTACCAACAGTAATATTTGGGTGAGCTGCAGTAGTGGTGCCTGTGGCAGGAGTGGTAGTTGATGATGTATTAGTTGATGGTGTATTAGTTGTAGTGGTAGTGGTTGTAGTTGCTGGTGTTGGTTCTGTCATGATTGGTGTAAAAGTAGTATCAGGGAAGGAAAATACATGAACACTGCCATCGTTGTTTGTATTTTCTTCGACTGGTTTTGGTGAAGTATTTCTCTTTAATGAACCTTGTTTATGTAATTGTGGTGATGAACTTCCATTTGCTTTATTTTTATAACTGCTATTATTTTTATTATTACGTTGTTGTGATTGATCTTTATCGCCATCTATTAAAAAGAGAAAAAAAATAAATAAATAAAAACCATTAGTATTAATACTTTTTTAATTAAATACCAAAATAAATGTCAACTTACCTTTATCCTTTTTAATTTTATCTCTTGGTTTATCTTCTTTCTTTATATTGTTTCTATTTTCATTATCTTTAATTTTATTTTTTGATTCCTAAAAAAAACAATAAAAAATTTAAATTTAATTAATACTCGTTTGTTATCAGATATTGATTAATGATGTAGTATATACTTACTTTGCTATTTTTATTTTTAACCTCAGTCCATTGACCATGTTCTTGTTTGACTACACCTTCCATAATATAAAGAATAGTAGTTTCAACACTGAAACTGGTTTGTTGTAAGGCACTTACAATATCCTCTTCAGACCAACTTTGGAAAACTTCTTTGATCTTTCTAATTTCTTCTCTGTGGTCGTTACTGCTACCATTTATCTCTGATGTATTTAAAGTTTTGTTAAAGTTGTTATTGTTATTTGAGTCTGAAGTACCACCACTGCTCTTTTTACCACCTTTTTGTTGTGTTTGTTTTACTGCTTCTTTTTGCACCATTTTTTATATAATATGTAAATATATTTTATGTGTGTGGGGAATATGTAAGTGTTGTTTTATTTTTTGTAATTTAAATATAATTGGTTTTTTTTATAAAAAAAAAAAATCTAAATAGAAAATATTAAAATTTATTAATAAATAAAGAAAAATTTTCTATATATGTTTTTATGAAATTTTGTGTGTTGTGATTTGAAGTAGGAAAAAAAAAAATTTTAAAAAAATTTTGAAAAAAAATTTTAAAAAAAAATTAAAAAAAATTTGAAAAAATAATAAAAAAATAATAAAAAATAAATTTATATTTGGAAGTAATAATTTAAAAAAAAAAAAATAAAAAAAAAAAAAAATACAAACAAACTATTTTGATATATATAATGCTTTTCTTATATATAATTTTGGTGTGGGCAGTTGCTAATTAAAAATAATATGTGGACAGATATCATTTCGCACACACAAAAACACACAAAAAAAAATAAAAAATAAAAAAATAAAAACCCCCACCGATAAAATAAAATAAAAACGAATATGTATAAAGAAATAAATAAATAAAAATAAAATTTTTATCTAATAATTTATTTTTAAAATAAAATATTATTTTTAAAATAAAATAAAATAAAATTAAACTAAACAAAGATTTTTTTTTGATAGATAAGTTTTAATCTATAAAAGTAAGTCTTTTTTTTTTTTTTCTATTATTGTTTAATTGATTATTATCTATCTGTATTTCTTTTTTTTTTCTTTTTTTTTCTTTTTTTTTTATTTTTTTTTTTTTTCGAAAAAATTAAGATTTCTTATTTAAATGGGATGGTGGTATTATTATGTATAAATTTGTTACAAAAATCGAAAAAGTTATAAAAATAATAAAACAAATTGTCTTTTTTATCTGTTGAGAAAAATGTAAAATAAAATAAAAAGAACCGATAAAAATAAACAATTTGCTAAGGTTTGAATATATATTTGAAATTTACCTTCGAAAATATATATAATTTAAATGTATAAATGTAATTGAAAATGAAAAAAATTTTAAAAAAAAAAAATTTTATCAATTTTAAAAAAAAATTAAAAAAAAATAAAAAAAAAAAAAATAAAAAAAAAAAAATTAAAATTTATTAACTTCCTCGTTTTTGAATTTTTTATTTATAACTGTTTTTAATTTCCCAATAATTCAAAATATATAAAATAAAGCAATTAAGTATATTTATAAAGTTTATTTAAATAATAAAAATATCAATAAATATATAAATTGGTTTTTTTTATTTTTTTTATAAATATATATTTACAACTCTATTTATTTTATTTTAAAATTAAAAAGATATAAATAAAGAAAAAAAAGGTGTGGTTTTTTTTTTTTTTTTTCTAAAAAATAAAAATAAAATTTTTTTTTCTTTTTTTAGTAACTGTTCAGTTAAGTATAGCAATATTCAATACTTAGATAAAATTACAATAATGATATAAAATCTAGATATTTTTAAAACTTTACTCGATAATAAAATGTATAGAGGCAACCCAAATACCAAAGTATTTTGAAAATTAAAGTCCCCACAATACCAAATTCAGGTATTATGAATGATAAAGATGAATTAACAATATTGTAAGTATATTCAATTTTAAAACTATAGTAATTTCAATAACCAAATAATAAAAATATTAAGACAGATATTTATTTTGGAGTTCAAACATCTCCATAATAGCACAATCTATTTTTATATTAAATAAATTTTTTTTTTTTTTTTTTAAAATCTTTAAAGATTCTAATTTCAAATAATTATAATTTTTTAGATTTTCAAATTGTTAACTTTTAGTTTTTTTTTTTTTTTTTTTTTGTTTAATTGTGGGTATCAATAGGATGGAGCAAATTAAAAGTTTATATTTTATTTCAGATTTATTTTTAATAGTGTTTTATAATTTGGGGTTGTAAATATTTGTAAAGATAAAAAACAAGCTTTCCCTAATAGAAACATAAAGATAAAAAATTGTTTTTTTAACCACAAATATTTTATTCATCTTTAAATAAAATCGTAAGGGACTCTTATAACATTTTCATAGTTTTTTTAACCTATTATTATTTTATTTGAGTATAGATTTTTTTTTTTTTTCAATCATTATTAAATTCAAATTAGCTAAAAAGGAATACATTTTAAAAAATGAATAGCTTAGCAAACAATGGCAAATTATATTTAAGTTTAAAAAAGTTAAATTTTCCAAAAGAATGGTCATATCCAGTTAATCCCAATACTAGTTATATTATAGATACTTTTAAAGAAGCAGTAAAATGTGGTATATTTTTAGAATCAAACAAAAAGCACTTTGAATATTCATATAGTATTTTAACAGTTATTGGGTGGTTTTTTCCAAGGTATAACTACGAGCAATTGATGATTGCATCCTCTGTGATGCAATGGATCTTTGTTTTAGATGATTTTTTAGAAAGGGATCATATTGATGATGAAAAGCAGCAATATTGTGTAAACAAGTGTGAAGATATATTAATACAGGGAAGAAAAAGCGAATACATATCAAATATAGCAGATGCAGATTTAGCACCATTAGACAAATACACATTATTATTAAGAGATAGATTATCAAAATCAACTAAAGATAGAGTCGAAACATTCAATATTTTCATTCATTATCTCAGAGAATGGTTTTTTTCAGTAATCCCACTTAAGAAATCAAAAGGAGAATCTAAATCTGACTCGGTACACTATGATGTATATACATTTATTAGGACTGTTAATGTAGGGCTTTATTTTGTAATTGCCATCAATAATGTAGCAGTAGATTTAAAAATTGATGGATCTTTTTGGATGAATCCAATCTGGAGCAGAATGACAAGAAATGCATCAAGATTATTCACCATTGTCAACGATTGTGTATCATATGCAAAAGAGATTGATCAAGAATGTGCAGGTGAAAATTGTTTATATATTTTACAAATAAAGTCAAATTTACCATTACAGACAGTATATAACCATCTTGTAGACGAATTCGATCAAATTGTAGCCAAAGTTCAAAAAGATGAAATTTTGTTATTAGAGTCATTTAATTATTTGCCAAATGAAAAAATAGATGGTATAAAATATTTAATTTTAAGCTTAAAAGAACTGTTAGTTGGCAACTATAAATGGAGTTTAGTTTCACCAAGATATATTCATAAAGATTCGCCCTTTATCGAAACCAGTAGATCCGATTCATCAACGATTCCATACGAAACAATTTTAACACCTGATATATTTTGGATATAAATATATATAAATAAAATATAAAAAATAATAAATAAAAAAACCTAAAAAAAAAAATATATCTTTTTTTTTAATTTTTCATTTAAAGTTTTATTAATGTTTTTTTACTAAAATAGCTATATACATATTTTTTACTGAAAATAAGTCTAGATATATATTAGTTTTTTTATACAAAACAAACTGATGGGGCTTGGGTTCTGGAAAGGTCAACTTGTGGTCTATAGTTGAAAAAGTTATAAATTGCTTTTCCTTGATAAAGGACATTATTTGTAATAACTGTGCTTACTAGTGAGCAATCTTTTGGATCATAAATTGAAACTTGTTCAGTAAAATTATAGAGTGGAGTAAAATTTTCATAGATATCGAGTTTATGGGAGCCAACTAAAGTAGAACCAACCTTTTTGGATAATGCAATGTTTTCTAGTAAATTAAATTGCATTGGAGCTGGTGCACATTTTTCTACACCACCAATGTTTACATAGGCATATTGGGTACGCTATATAGTTAAAAAAGGTGTGGGGTGGTTAGTTTATTTTATTTAAATTTTTTTGTTTTTTTATCTGATATTTACATTACTATGGAATGCGTAGAGAGTTCCTTTTAAATTTCCACCATCAGCGGTATTGTTAAAGTCCCATACGGCCAAGTCATTTTCGTAATCAACAATGAATGTTCCGTGCTCTGAAAATGTATAAGGAATAAGATATGAGGTACTTAAAAGATTCATTTGTGCACCTACTGCTTCGTAATTGGCCATAAAACCCTTTACTGGTTTACACCCGCCCTCTTGTCTTTTGTGCATATAGTTGGATGGAATACTATCAACATTGATTGAAATAGCATTTGAAAAAGTAATAAAGAAAATAAAGTAAGTAATTAATAATTTAGTATTCATTTTAAGATAAATATATGAATTTAATGAAATGAATAAATAAATTTTTTTTTATTTATAATTTTTTTAAAAAAAATAAATATTATATTTTGGATGGATAAAAAAAAAACATTGTTAACTAATAATTGTTATTCTCTTCAAAAAACTGATAAAAAAAATAATTTATTGTTTTTTTACTCAAAATAGTAAATTAATTATTGCTACTAAAGACAATTATAATTCAGAAAATAGTAATCTATTACTATTTAAAAAAACATTTCCAAAATTGTTTAAATCTAACACCCTCAATTTAATTTTTTTGCAATAATTGCAGGTATCAATTCAATTTTTAATATATAGCAGTTATTTCATTATATGAAGCTATAGTATTTTAAATCTACATTTATTTATACATATATGTATGAACGTTAACTTTTTTAAATGTGGTAACCACATTTAAAACAGTTTTTTATGATAATAACAATGTTTAACTTCTCCTTTATGATAAAGTATTAATATATGGATGATATAGTTGTTTTTGTGTGAATTTTTATTTATTTTTGGTACATGTGAGAAATCTTTTCCCCCCAAATTTGTAATAGAAATAAAATAAAAAAAAAAAATAAAAAAAAAAATACATCATTTAACACACTAAATCTAATAAGAAGCAATTATAAAGAGTTGTATTTTTAGGGTTATTTTTAGAACTTCCACATGAACACTTAGATTTTTCTATCAATATTTTTACTTTATTTGACTATTTCATATTATAAATATTAAGAAAAAGGTATTTTTAATTTGTTAATTAAAATAATAGTTAATTCAAATAATGAAAAAGAATATACCACATTGCTTTTTATTTATTTAATGGGTGATTAGATGGAAAGTTTATTTTTTATCATATGATTTGAAAAAAATATTTTCTTTTTATTAAAAAAAATATTCAATTGTTTTTGTGAAGAGTTTTTTTTGTGTGGGACTATAAACTTCTCTTACCCCACCAAATTTTACTTTTAAAAAAAATACCCTCTGACATATTATAAGCAATTTTTTTTGTAGAGTTATTTATAAATTCTCTGTGAACTATTTTTATTTTTATGAATCCAATTTTACTTTTTTTGACAAAATTTAAATATTGAAATACTCTTAATTTAGATATGTAATTTATTATTAAAAACAAATTCAATGATTAACACTAAAATAAATATAGATCATTAATTTAATTGTTTTTTGAATTTAGTTTTTTAAAAATAATAAAAAATTTTTAATTAATAAATTTTTTTTCACTATTTATAATAAATAAAACATTCAAACTATTCATTCAAATTATTAAAACTATTAAAACTATTAAAACTATTAAAACTATTAAAACTATTAAAACTATTAAAACTATAATAAAAAATGCAAGAAAAACCAAATCTTTTAAGTTTAAAAAAGTTTTATTTTCCAAAAGAATGGTCTTATCCAGTCAATACTATTTCTAAACATATTAGAGATACTTTTGATGAAGCTGTAGAGTGTGGTCTATTTGATGGTTCTAATGAAAAGCATTTTGCCTATGCCAATGGTGTTTTAAACTGTGTAACTTGGTTCTACCCAAAGTATGACTATGAGCAACTAATGGTCGCTGCCGCTATTATGCAATGGATCTTTGTTTTAGATGACTTTTTAGAAAGAGATCACATGACCGATGAAAAGCAACAATATTGTGTTAGAAAGTATGAAGACATTTTAATTCAAGGAAGATCTAGCCCCTATTTGTCCACTCTTGATGACTGTTGTCTAACCCCATTAGACAAGTATACCTTAGTTCTAAGAAAAAGACTTTTAAAGCCGAGCGAAAATAGAATTGAAACATTCAATATCTTTGTTCATTATCTCAGAGAATGGTTCTTTTCAATTATTCCATTGAAGAAATCTAAGGGTGATCACCATACTGACTCCGTTCCATATGAAGTATATTCATTCATTAGAACAATTAATATCGGCTTGTATTTCGTTGTTGGTGTAAATAGTGTTGCTGTCGATACCAAAGTCCATGGATCTTTTTGGATCAACCCAATTTGGCAAAGAATGGTTAGACATGCTGCTAAACAAATCATTATCTTTAATGATTGTGTTTCATATGCTAAAGAAATCAATCATGACTGTGCTGGTGAAAATTGCTTATACATCTTACAGAAAAAATTAAATTTATCCTTCGAAAAAGTATATGAACATGTAGTAGAAGAGGCCAAACAAGCTATTTTTGAAATTCAAAAGGATGAAGTTTTGCTAGTAGAGACCCTCAGTTATTTACCAGAAGAACAAATGAATGGGGTTAAGTACTTGATTGAACAATTAAGAGAAATTGTTGTTGGTAATCGTGACTGGGCTTTAATGACACCAAGATATGTTCATAATGATTCTCCATTCATCGAAACTAGAGGAACAGATCCATCAATTGTACCTTATGAAAAGATCTTAAATTCAAATCTTTATTAAAATTCTTTTTAATAAAAATACTTAATTTTTTTAAAAGTTTTAAAAAATAAAAAAATAAAAAAGTTTATTTTAAAATTATTGTTAACAATGAAACCATCTTATTAAAGTTAAAAAATCATCACATTTTAATTAAATTGTTATGATTTTTATTAATCATTTTCATTATTTTTTTTATTCTCATTTTGATTTTTTATAAATCAATTTGATAAGTTTTTTTTTTTTTTTTTTTTTTTTTTTGTTAATATTTTTTTTTTTTTTTAACCGCTCCCCGAAAAAAAATAAAATAGGGGTGGGGTTTAATTATCAACCAACCCCTTTTCTATATTTGGTATTTTAAAATATTATTACTTCCATTTGATATACATTTTAATGATAACACTGCTTAAAAATTTTATACAAATGAATAGGCATCATAGTATAAAATAACAATAATTGAAAATAAAAATACTTTTGTATTTTTATTGTTATTTAATAATTTATTTTTTTAAATTTTTTTCTTTTAAAAGAAATATATGAATACAAAATAAATTTTTTTTTTTTAATATTAAATTTAAATAAGAGAACAAAATAATTTTTTTTTTTTAATATTATATTTCATTCAAAGTAATAAAAATGATTTTTATATTATTAATAGTCTTATTGGTTTTTATAGTTTATTTAAATAAAAATGTAATTATTTATTGATTTTTATGATTTTTAAAAATTAATATTAATTTAATTATCTTAGTTTTATTTAAAAAAAAATAATGCAAAGTACCCAAATGGACCATTAGTTTTACCAATTATTGGTAGTCTTTATAGAGTTAGCTTCAAAACACCACATTTATCATTTAAAAATTTATCGCAACAATATGGAAAAATTTTTTCTATTAAAATGGGGTGTGTGGAAACAATCGTTATCAATGATATCAGCATTCTTCAAAAAACATTCCGTGATAAACCAACTATTTTTCAACAAAGATTCTGGCTTCCATCATTTTATAATGTGGGGGAATACAGAGATATAGTGTAATTTTTCTTTATTAATTTTTTTTTTTTTACAAATTCTAATTTTTATTTTTTAAATAAATAGTTTTTCAAATGGACCATACTGGAGAGAAATAAAAAGTATTTTAAAGAACTCTTTAACAAAAACAAAATCACGTAGTATGGAAGATTTGTTTAATAGCGAGTGTTCAAAAGCTGAGCAATATATAATGAAAAAAATTAAAGAAAATAATAATATTGTATGTATAAAAGTCTGTGCTTTATTTTTAACATTTTGATATTAATTTTTATTCTATAGGTTGATATGATGAAAACCACCAAAAGACTGTTGTTAAATATTATGGTAAAATTTTTATTTAACATTTCATTTGAATATGATGATGGCTCGTTGTCTAAAGAGATCTTTGACTTTGTTAAAAGTTACAATTTAATTTTTGAGTATCTAGCAAAACAACCTGGTGACTTTATTCCATTGTTAAGACCATTTGATACACACGACAAAATAGCAAAAGAGTACTCAAATCTTTTAAAGTTTTTTACCCCCTTTATAGATGAAACTTTAAAAAATATTGATAAGGAAAAGTAATTATAAATATTGAAATATTTTATTAGTAAAGTATATTAACCTATCTGTTTATTATATATACAGTCCAAAATGCTTTTTAGAATACTTACTCATTGAAATTGAAAGGGACCCCAATAGTATGATTAAGCCAGAGTCTATTCCACATATTTGCTTTAGTATTATTGTTGCTGGAAGCGATACTACAGGTACAACTTTGGAATGGATGATTTTATATTTATCTAACTACCCTAACATCCAAGAAAAGCTACATTGCGAAATCAATTCATCTCATCATCCAACTTTAAAAGAAAAGAAAAATTATCCATTTTTAAGAGCAGTCATTAATGAAACTTTAAGAATTTCTCCACGTAAATAAAATCGGTTTCAATTAAAATTTTTATTTATATTAATATACTAATTTATTTATTTATTAATTTGCTAAAGCTGCTCCATTTGCACTTCCACATATCTGTTCAGAGGATACTATAGTTAGTTTTAATGGTCATGATTATTTTTTCCCAAAATATACACAAATAATTCCAAATCTTTATGGTGCTAATAGAAATGAAAATGAATTTGATGATCCAAATACATTTAATCCAGATAGACATCCCTCTTCCACTGCATCTCATGTCTCTTATTCATCAGGTCCTAGATCTTGTCCAGGTGAGAATATGGCAGATGATATTTTATTTGTTGTCTCTACAAGATTATACAAATATTTTAAATTTGAAAGAACTACAAACCAACTGTATGACGAATATGGAGTCTTGACAAAAACCTTAACCCCAAAAGACTATTTGTCAAAAGTAACATTCAGAAGTTAATTTAATATCCCAAAATAACCTTTTTCTAATATATAAATAAATGAATAAATTGATTTTTAAAAAAAAACATAATAAATGCACAAATTTTTTTTTTTTTTATAAACAACACAAGTGAAAAATAGCCCCATAATATTAGATTTATCAATATGGTTTTGTGAAGGTTTTTGAAAAGGAAAATAAAAATATTATAATTAATAAAATTCAAATTTTAAAAAAAAAAAAATTTTAAAAAAAGCGCTCATTGTAATTAAAAAAAAAATAAAAAAATGATTAAAAAATTTTTAAAGAAATTTAAAAAAAAATTAAATTTAAATAAATTTTTTTTTTTTTTTTTTTTTTTTTTAATATATTTTCATTCAGCTATCATACCAATTTGATTATCATATAATGAACTACCAAATTCTTACTTTATTCCTTTTCCACATATCAATTATGAAATAAATTATAATAAAATAATATAAATGGAAAAATGATTTCTTTAAAAGGAAGATGTGTTTAATTTATTTGAAAATTAAAAAATTTTGAAAAAAAAAAACCTCCCCTGTTTCAAATTATTACCAATTTTGATTGTAGCAGATCTACATTTTTTCTGAAAATACAAATTTTACTTATTTTGGAATTGATGTTTTATATAAATTAGGAAATAGTTATAGATTAATTAATTAATTAATTTTAAAAAAAATTTTTTTTTTTTTAAAATTTTTTTTTTAAAAAACAAAAAAGGTTTTAAAAAAAAAAATTTCCTAAAATTTTTTTTTTTTCCTTTTCCCCCCCCGGGGAAATTCAAGGTTTCCCAGTTTTTTTTTAAGGGAAGGTTTTTTTGGGGCCCAAAAAAAATCCCAAAAAAAAAAAAAAAAAAAAAAAAAAAAAAAAAAAAAAAAAAAATTTTAATATATAAAATTTTATTAAAAACTATAAAAAAAAAGAAAAAGAAATAATTTCAAAATTTTTTTTTAAAAATTAATAAATATTTATATCTGATTTAAAATAAAATTAAAAGAAAAAAAAAAAAAATAATATAAATAAATATTTTGGAAAATGCAGTGTGATAATAAAAAAAATCAATTTTGGAAAATGCAGTGTGATATTAAAAAAATATCAAATATTTAGGAAAATCATTAAAAAATAACAAGTATTATAGATCATACAGATATCAAAACTATTATTTAGCATAAAAAATATCAAGTAATATGGATCAAACAAATATCGAGTATTATTTAGCATTTAAAAAATATCAAATAACATGGATCATACAAAAATATCAAGTATTATTTACCATTTAAAATATCAAGTAATATTTAGCATTTAAATATTCATTTAGCATTTAAACATATCAAGTTTTATGTATCATTAAAAAATATCAAGTATTATTTAGAATTAAAAAATATCAAGTATTATTTATCATTAAAAATATCATATATTATGGATCATTTAAAATTTTCAAGTATTTTAGTATTATTTAGAATTAAAAAATATCAAGTATTATTTAGCATTTAAAAATATCAAGTTTTATTTATCATTAAAAATATCATGTATTATTTACCATTAAAAAATATCAACTATTATTTATCATTAAAAAATATCAAATATTATTTATCATTCAATTAAGTTTTCAATCAATTATCTTTTGTTTTTTATTGAATGTAATGATTATTGGTAAGTATTATTGATAAAATAAAAAGTAATATGATTCATACAAAAATATCAAGTAATATGGATCATGCAAAAGTATCAAATATTTAGCATTTATAAAATAAAAAGTATTATGGATCATAAAAAATATCAAATATTATATAGCATTTAAAAAATATTAAGTAATATGGATCACACAAAAATATCAAGTATAGAAATCAAATTTGAAAGAAATAGAATATAAATATAGATAAAAATAAAAATAAACATATCAATTATTGTGTAACATCCAAATATATCAAGGACTATTTAGCAGCACCAACAAGAAACAAGTGCTTTAAAAAAATTTTAGCTTTGTCAAGTCAAATTTCCATTATATTTATTTTTTTTTTTATTCACCCACTACATTTATTTGTTATTTTAATTATTCACCCATTACATTTCATTTCATTCTATTATCAATATGGTGGTTAATTATGTATTCTGCGTGGTGGGATACACAATTAACCATTCAGCTCTAATATATTCACATATATCAAGTATTATTTATCACATAAACATATCAAGTAATATTAGCATTT